TGTGATCTTTATGAGAGCATATTACAAGGTCTTGCTCTGGTTGGTGCTACGGAGGAGGGTTGAACCAGCAACGTCTTGGTTAGCAGGCAAACCCTGATCCGTCGCACCACCAGGCTCACCACAATGGAGGGAGGAACGCACCCTCCGATCCAAGCTGAGCACCCTCATGAGATGGTTTCCAATGGCACCCAACCTCTATCATCTTTGGAAAGTTATCCATGCCCAAGCCCCTTTCAGTCCTGACTGCCTCCAGCACGAGCCCCAGTGTGGTACCGGGGTGTCCTGAACGCGTCCCCAGCGCTCCACAGCCGCCTGTCCATCACACGGGGAGAGGAGACCGATTCTTCAGGGGCTAGGTCCCCAGTGAAATCCAGCGAGAGTCTGCAGACATTGTTGTGTCTTCCATATATTTTATTTTTAGACTTACTTTCTGGTTTTGGCACACGACGATTTGGTTTCTTCTTCCAACGGAGCATAAAAGTCCCTGCTTTAAATTAGTTTATGTGAGGTAAAAGGTCTATTGATTTCATGGTAAATGTCAAATAAAAGACCACAGGAGGTGTGGGGTGAAGTCAAAACACTTGCAGACACCACACAGGAGGCACATGGCTGTAATGGATAGGACAAAAACCGGGACTCCAACGACACACGAAGTGTCCGACAACACAAGAAGCAAGCAGGGAAGCATGAGAGGCACGTTCCACGAACAGAGAAGACCGTGGGCCTGACCAGAGCCCAGGGAACACGTGCTGCGGTGGTGAACTGCGGGGGAGGTACAGTGGACCTTCTGGCCTAGATGAGCTGCCTGGACTCACCTGTGACCAGAGGTCTCCAAGCCACAGTCCTGGTAGAAGGGACCACCCCCCAGCATTGGCCTGATTTGGGAAGGGGGGAGACAAGTTTGAGGCAAAGAAGCTAAAGAAGCAGCCAAGGCTGCCTCATCTCTACTGGCCGCAGTGAGGGCTGAGAACGTACGCGGCACCCCAAGAGGAAAGCTGTACCCCCGGAGGCCCCGGTCTTGGAGGCTAGGAGTGGAATGGAGTCCTGTATGCGTCATACTTAGCCCGGGAGCCAGGTATGAGCCCAAGCAGTCTTTCACGATACAGATACATATTGCCATATATGGGATGAAAATTTCTAGGGAAAAGGGGGTGGTTGGGGAGATTGGACTGGGCTTAAAGAAAAAGACCTAAAGACAGCCTAAACAAAGCTTGCCCCGCCCCTCAGTGGCTGCCCTGTCTGCAAGCCATATGGTGTGCGATAAGCCAGCCCACTTTTATTTATCTTCTCTGACTTGTCTATGAAGGAGGGCAAGCCAGGTCCTACGGAGAAACCTCCTCATGGTGTAGACACTGTGCTGTGCTTTTATAAACTGTCCTGGCCAGCAGCTCCTGAGGGCCAGCCGGGGCCACTCTCCCCCATCTGGGCTGCCCGCCTCAGCCTCTGAGGGAGCCCCAGCTGATGCCCTACAGCTCCCAGCTGGGCCCAACTGTGGACCGGCTCAGCCATCGCCCCACACAGGTCCTCTGACAGAGCCCACACAAGAGACTCTTCCTGTAGGAGTTGGGGTTGTGAGGGGCTATCAAGCTAGTCCCGACCCAAGGAAACACTGCCCGGTCCTGTGCCAGCCTCCTATTGGAGCCCATTACTGCCCCCCCTGTGCCTATCCATTTTCCCACTGCCCCTCCGCTTTACCAAGCAGGGCTGTCCTTCTGTCTCCAGGCTCAGGCTCCAGTCTCAAAAGGAGCCCTGGTAGCCTAATGGCCAAGTGCCCCACTGCTAAGCAACGGGCTCTCAGGGCTGCATGGGGTCAAAGACCATCTGCTCGTGTCAAGGTTACAGCCTAGACACCCAAGAGGGCGGTTCTCCTCACCACATGGTCAGAAAGAGCAGATGGTTCAGGGCCTTCTCCTGTGCATCCTCTGGGTGGGTTTGAACTGCCAATCTTTTGATTAGCAGCCAAGCCCTTCTGTGAAGATGGACGGTGTAGGAGAGTCAATAACAGATGGGGAGGCACCCAACAAGACAGCACAGGTAATCTTACCGTGATACTACCAGGGCCACTGCCTCATCGATGCTAAGGTCTCAGAGGCTGCCATCTTTTTGCCTGAGGAAATGGCCAACCAAAAACTGTCTCTCACTTGTTCCAAGTCCAGGCCTGGTCTCCTGCTCACCCTAATCCCACAAAGGTCCGGCTCGCCCTGCCCTCGGCCGCCACACTCCTCTGACCACCCCAGAGCAAGGAAGCCTCCGGAGACGCGCACCAGCGGGCCTGACTCTGGAGAACTGATGAAAGGGAGGAATTCTGTCAGAACAGGAGACCTTGAGGACCGTCCACTAGACGGGAGAGAGCGAAAAGTCGTGAGACGGTGCCCTGTCAGAGGAGGAACACACGACAGCCCTGGGGCGCTCTGGCTCCCACAGACCAGAACTGTTCTAACAAAACTTCTACTTGCTT